GGGAAAAAAAGATGGGTGGCTACTACAGTTATGCAATTCCGCATTTTTCTGTTTCTTATTATTTCGCGTAAATTTCCTAGGAATGCTTGTAACTCAGAAAAATTGACTTATACATTTGACAAACACTCTTTTAATATTTAAAATAGTTATAGGAAATTAAGACTGCTATATTACAACTCTTTAATACAACTGAAATAAATTTCGTTGAAAAAAAAAACTGTATGACACTTTTTTAATCCTTTTAGTTACAGTATTAACATTTGGAATCAGAAAAGGATATTTTTCTACGTGTATTCATTCAGAAATAATTTCTCTTAAAACATAAAAAGCAACACTACTTTTGTCGCGAAGCCTTATTTTCAACATTTCCGTAAAAAAATCGATTTGAAAATGGCGAAGAAAAATCATTGGAGTGGATTCTATTGAACATGTTACATGCATAATATTTGAAGAACTGTTATCATTTGCCACTAATATTGCAATTTTGGTTTGAAAAGCAACAGTAAGAGCTGATAGTGAGTTTTTGAAATTAAAGTTAAAAACTGCATGATATTTGCAATTAGACTGAACTGCTCCTTCCAATATATTTATCCGTGTCACTTGCCGTATAACATGTTCAACTTAATCTTTCGTCTAGTGATTGGAATTAATTGAATATTGTAATCACATTTTTTTTTTTTTTGTTTTTGTTTAAATGCTGGAACATGATTGCTAAAGGTCACCTGTTATTAAACCTTTCTATAAGAGCTTTTTTCCATTTCTACTAAGAGGTTTAATTTCTGGTGTAATAAATAACTTAAAATAGAGAAGTATCGAAATGATCGATTTTTATCGAAATTTCTCACATAAAATCCACAAAATTATCGAAAATGTTTACTAGCATCTCAGAGCTGAAATAATTTACTGCAGGATATCGAGTTCTTCATAGCTAAAATTAAACTGTAAACTGTAAAAATAAACAGGCTTACATTTCTATCAGACTTTGAGGAAAAAGTCTTTTAAAGCGGGGATGGAGAAATGAAAAAAAATGAAAGGATTAAGATTTTAAATCTCGCTCTAGAAGATCTGTTAATTTTTTTTAATGCTCTCACTGAGCTTCATAGGCTACCAATCTGTTCCTGAACTCACTCCTGCTAACACAAATTTTTGTCTTTAAATTTTTTTTTATGCTCTCATTGAACATCGCAGGCTACTAATCTGCTCCTGGACTCACTTCTGCTAACACTTTTTTCCCCCTTTTTAGCCGTATTATTAAGTAACGCTTTCTTCGGACTTACGCCACATAAAATCCAAGAGCAAAATCGCAAAGTATTTTAGGGATAACGTGTTAGAAGTTGCCATATTTCCATTTTTTTTAATTCGTTGCATTATTTCTTTGAAAATTAAGCGCTCGAGCGGCTAGCCGCCTAAAAGAGTTATCATACAAAATAAAAAAGCATGTAATAATTTTAATGGGTCCAGCTAATGTCACTTCAAAAAAGTATTTAATATTTTAAAACATCTCATGATTTAAATGCATCCTTAGTTAAATCAATCAGAATAAAAAGTCGAAAAAGAGCTGTGTTTATTTTTTTCAGTCACTTGATTTGCTACTCAGTAACTAAAAGATTAAAATTTAAAGTTAAATATCTTACGCTTTACTGAATGGCAACATGCCGGTGCGTGTTTTACATTTTGCGGAATGGCAACAGTCTGGAGGGCTAGATACAAAATTTTTTTATTTCTTATTTATAACTTCTAGCTTTCAAATCGCTGAGTTTTTTAAAGAAAAATTCGTTAAATTTGTACAAAATATGAAATAAAACAAATTCAAAATTCAGAGTTCGAGGTACCCATATTCCGGGCAGTATATTAAAAATTTGCTAGCTCTACGTGCCATGGAATTTCCACAATGCGAGAAACATACATGTAGACTGCGCATTATTTAATTAAAAAAAATAGTACATCGCGATAACATTTGGAGGCATCAGTTTGAGAAGTGATTCAGATACAAATATGATACGGATAAAAAGTGCGCTTCGACGAAGTTAATAGCATCTCTGAGATTTAAAAATTTATTGTAACAAGTACTTCTTTTTCTTTTTCTTCTTTTTTTTAACATGAAAATATTCCTTCCAAAACCTGCTTCTGTATTGAATATACATACTGAAAATGTCATCACAAATATTCATTCAGTGATGTCATCACAAATATTCATTGCCACATAAATAAAATATGACCCCTTAAAATGTATGACAGTACATAAAGATTAACCAATGGGTGAAATATTATAATTGTCTTAGATACTGAAATAAAATATCTAACTTTCACAAATTTTGGAATATTAGAAATCTATTTCTTACTGAGGGTTTGAATAATAAAAAAAAAGATGCAATAGATTGTTGAAAATTGTTTGTTGGAAGACTTTTGGGAATTCTTTGTTGTGGATTGATTGTTGTGCAAACATATCCACAACAAACAATTTCCAATAGTCTGGTTTTGCATTTATTATGTAAACTTTGCATACACACAATAAATAAATAAATAAAAAGTAGAAATCTAAAAGCTTTTCCTATTTTATATTACGCCCAAACAGTCGTTTTTTTCATTTACATACACATACACGTTTCGAGAGCATTTGGGCTAAAAATATTTAAAAACAGCTTATCTTTAGAATTTCCGATAGACGGTCTTACGCCATGGAGTTAAAAAGGTTTTTTTCCATACAGTGTTGCCCTTCCTCGCCTTGAAATCATTGAGTTTGTTAATCAAAAATCTCGTTTTAAAGTCTTACAAAATATGAAATACACAATAAAACAAATTCGAAATTCAAAATTCGAGCTTCCAGGCGTCCATATTCGGGTGGAGGACTACATTATTCAAAATTTGATAGTACCGTTGGTTGCTATCGCCGTAGTATTAAAAATGTAAATATTCTGTGAATAGGCACGACTAGAGTGGCAAGTGATCGTGGCCACAAATGTCAACTGGAAATAAAAATGGAATTAAAACTCCCTCGACAGCGAAGTTCCTTAGATATTACCAAGTCAACATAATAGCATACAACGCAATCGGAGTTCTTCCTCTTCAATATGGATCGACGATCTATCCTATTTGGGTATTACGCATCAACATTGTTCCGGCTTTTCCTTGTTATTATATCATATATAATATATATATATATATAATCAATATTTATTGTTAAATGGAGGATAAAATATTGTTATTTGTTACACTTCTAATATACAGAGATATGAGATTTTACATTTTTTAATACTTTTTTTTTAATCTTTAAGAATATTATTCTGTAGTAAGTGGAGTGAAAATTTTCTTAAAACAACCAATCACAGCTCTAAATAATTTTGATTTTCTGTGAAGGCGGTCTCATCAGAGAGCATAAGTAGCGTTGATGTTTAGTATTGTTATTTAATCATAATCTGAAAAGTACTGGGCACTTCTAGACGTTGTTTCGAAAAGGCGGTCGCCGTGAGAAGTTTCAGTGCATGTTTTTAGAATTTATAATCATAAATAAAGTATAAAAGGTAACTAATATACTTTTACAAAAAACTTTGAACAAATGTTGATTTCTTTCCAACGGGCAAAAATTTGTAATCAATTGACAGGACTTGGAGAAATCAGAAAAGCTACCTATCCCTTTTATGATAGATCTTCTAATAAAGTGCAGTTTTAAAGTTTGATCTGAAGATTTTTCTAAAATTTTCTGTGTTCTCTACATATTTTGGGGACTCGGTATCAGCATAAAGTATGAATTTTTATTATTTAATATACGTCAGTTTTTCTTTCTGAGTTCTGTGAGATGATATTTTTTATTCTGTTTATTACTATGAGAAGAAGAATGTAAAATATTTCTTAAATATATCAAGTATCAGTTGAAAACAGATTGAAATTTAAGGAGCTGGGCCCAAATCTGCTCATTAAATATATATAACTTTTTGTGCTTTTTGTTGAAATATAATAAATTTGTTCCAAAACATTTTATAACCTTGGATTATTTTGTTCCAAGGCGTTTTATGTGAGATATTTGTAAGTTATATGAGATATTTTTAAGTTATATGTTTTAGTCTTGAATTTTGAAAAATAATCTTTTAGTTAATATTTATGAAGTGCATTTTCTCAGGTTCTGGTAATAATGTTTCTCTGAAATTCTTAACAATATAAGTAAGCCAGTTTCTTTCTTGTTCTCGTTGTTATTGTAATATGTTATGCATTTCCTTTGACATCTTAGAATTAATAAATAATCTAAAGCAGCAACTATTTTACCTCTTCTTTTAAAACTTGAAGGTCGAAAAGGAGAAGACAGATCTCGTTTTGGTTCATAAAATTTGAATGTTTGGGGCATGTGAAGCGTGCGAATATGTGCTAGGTGTTCATGAAATAATAATGTGATTGACGAGACTGCAGATTTTCATTTTCATCCGTCGTTAAAGAAAGCTAATGAATGTAACATCAGTCTTAACGTTGAACGAATGAATAACATTAACGATTAAAAAATGAGAAAATAATCTAAAAAGGCCATTTGACAGCATTTCGTAGTATCCACATTCATTTGGTGTCGTTAAGTCGCGAAAATGACGTTATTTTACAAATTGTAATCATTGCGAGTGTGAGATACGTCACTATCACATTGTGTTTAAATTTATGCAGTATAGGCGGGTTCACTTCAGATTCTTATATCGCAGCGCGTATTACTAAAACTTAATTTAAAGCGTATTGTTATAAATTTGAAACATCTTTTAATACTCCAGAAATCGTTCATTAAACTTGTTAAATAAATATATATGTATATTATTTTTTTTTTTATTCTAGTGTGCTTTCAAAATTAGAATTAAAAGGATTGTAATTTACCTCTGCGCCTTCCGTAATGTTACGTCCCGCAGTTCCCATTCATTTTTTGATCAGCCCCCTAGCGCGAATTCTCATCCTCATCCCGAAAGGCAGCATGGGAGGGATGACTTCAGATCGCGCATGAGCAACTGTTGTCAGCTCCCGCAGTAGTTCCTGTACTGTCCGCCATCATCATTTCTTGGGTGTTGTGTTGTTTCCATTGGAATATACCGCTGTGGATTATCATAGTGTTTTTATCGCGACTGACATTCCACTTGATGTTGTGATGTGATTTCCCAAACGAAGATGATGGACGCTATATTACAAGGGCGAAGGTTTTGGGAAAAAAACGGCAACATTGTTTTAGTGCCCCCACCTAATGATACGTCTTCCCTAGTATCGCAGAATAGTGAGCAAGGATGTGAGTGGTTTTTTTTACTGATCTTTTTCTATACATTCGCGAGTCATTTCTCTCGTATCATCAAAAATTGATTTCTCTCTGTTGATCATTGATGATGTCTGGAAAGTTTGATATTTGGGCTAGCTCCGGGTCGATTTTACATAAATATTTAAACTTGTAACTCAGAAGGCACTGAGTCATTTCTCCCCCCTTGCATCTCTTAAAAAATACCATAGTATTTTGGATATTCAGGTAGCATTTTTTTAAAATTTACTTAATTTTTTTAATCTGAAATTTTTTAAATAAAAAAAATTTAAACCTTTTCTGATGTTATTCTTTTATTCAGTTAAAATAGCAATTCTTTAAATCCAGAATATGTGCATGTTATTGTTATTTAGCTAGTACGTCGTGTACAAGTTAAATAAGTGACACTATTTGAAATATCATCTTGAAACGATCAGATATATTTAATAATTCTAATTAATTTAAAATAAATGTTAATGATTGTTATATATTGTTAAATATTGATATATTTAATGATATTAATTAATCTAAAATAACATTAAATCAAGATTATTGGTAAATTTGAAATTAACACAATTCATTTGTTGGAAATATTATAATGAATGTAGAAATATAAATAACGGTGCATCTTCTAAACGCTCAAAAAAAAAACCAAGTATCTAAAGTCGCGAAGCATTGTTTGTTCTCAATTTTTCGATGATGCTTCCTTTTCATCATGCGTAATGTGTAAAATTGATTTCCTCTTGGAAAACCTTCTATGGAAGCAATCCTCTAAGCAGACATCCTTTTGTGTTCTTCTATAATCAAAAGAAAATTAATCCGAAAACAGTATTATTGCTGTGAGTGCGTCACCCTCAAATGTTGTTTGAAATGACGTAATGAATCATTAATTGGGTGAAGTGCTTTTAATACTTAGCAAAGGACATGTGATGCCCATTGTAATTTACTGAAACTGAATGCATTGGTAAGAAAAGAAACGTGAGCTCAATGAAGTCATACTTTTTTTTTATTGAAAAAAATGATTCATTTTAATTGGTACTCCTTCTGTTATCGGGACCGGATTCAGAAATTTATGTATGTACGCACGTGTATATGTATATGAACGCATACATACATACATTTCTGAATCCGGTACCAGTAACAGAAAAGTACTTTTAATTCTTTGTTATTAATTCAAATTAAAGTATGTATATAAGTGCTTCACAGTTTTTTGAAATTGAAGCGAAGGCTTTAATGATAAATTAAGTGACTTTTAATGGAGTTATGAATGATATAGTTGTGCCTAATCGGACCAGGAACAGTGAGGATGTAAATACCTTTTTTTATTGCTTATGCCAGCTCATATTGACGCCACGAGTTATTCGCCATCTCTTTCCTCCTACTCTTAACCTCTACAATTCCTACTTTTTGAGCTCTATTTATCCTTCGATTTCTCTCATTTGGTTTGAGAATCTTGAGATGCATCTGCATGACGTTGGTTTAAAGCCGTTATTTTGATTTTGATTTGTTGGTTAATCGGATAAAACAAAACACGTGCACGAAAACCTCACTGTAGCCAACCCATTCGCCGGAAACCAAACTCCAGACGAACTGCTAGTTTTCTGCAGCTTTCCAATAGCCAATCAGCCACTATAGGCAAATTGCTGGTTTTAATGTTTACCTACTTTACATACGATGATCCAAATGTAGATTCAGATTCTTTATTTTATTCAGAAATGAATCATTAATTGAAAAATATTTTGCATAATTTAATATGCGCGATTATGAGGTGTAAGTCTTACTGTCGTCTTCTGTTCTGCATCAGTCATTTTCACCATACATTTGCATTTAGTTAAAAAAATATTTTGGCAATTTTATATAACTTTACAGTTGCCAAGACGGTATAGTAGAGCCTGCTGCGGTACCGAAGGGCCCGGGCCCAGGCATGGATGTTTGTAAATGTATATAGTGTCCGTGCGGCATGAGGGCACTCTGATATGCGGCGAGCCGAAATTCCTCTCGAAATATGCTCTCCATCAGAATTGGGGGTAGAACTGAGTGAAGTCGTACTGTGACCTGTATGGTGCTCAAGGCTGATTGCCAACGACAGGCGCAATCTTCCATTCCCTGCCATGATGAATTTCGTGGGCGTGTTCTACTTTCAGACAAGTGAGATAAATCGCAACAGCATATAATTTTATCATCAACATAAACATCAGTTTTAGTTGCAGGGAAGTATGTTTTGTTTTACGTAAACATAAAAATTATTTTATTAAATTTAGTATATTTAATAAAAAACAAGATTGCGTATATAATTTTATGACGTACATAAATAAAACTTCATTTCATTTTTTTTTTGTATTGTGTCATCAGACTTATAAAAATGTAATCTTGGTAAATAATTATGTCAAAAAAATGTGTGTGGTTTCAATTTTTTTTTTTAACTGAAACTTTTTTTTGAAAGAAAGATCGAAAATATAAAATGCAAAATGCCATTATTTTCATTATGCTTGTAATAAATGTTCATTTGGTAGGTAGGTTTATTATTGGTTTGTCTTAGAAGCATGTCAGACATTTCTTTTTTAATTTCATTTTCGAAAGGTCGCGGTTCAGTGCCTCACTAAACATTCATGTCATCGTTATTTACTTCCGCAGATACTCTGGTGTTCAGTTACCGTTATTTCCGTAAGTATTAATCTTATCTGTGTATTATAATATATGCAGTTAAAGTTGTTTCCAGTGATAAAGTCCAGATATCTGGATTCGTAAAAGTGTCATTTCTGGCTGCAGTTGAGTTGTTATTGTAACTTACAGCCGTATTAAAGGATGTTTGTGTTTCAGTGTTGTTTCTTCCTTTAAAGGCTAGTCATCCCTTAAAATGTGTAAGAGAAGTATGCCATTTGAAAAATTAGACTGGACCTAACCGTAGATTGATATTAATTTTTGATTAATGCATTCGTATATGTCTTCAGCAAGAAATTTTCTGCGCCAAACAAGTTGAATACCTCGCCTCTCTCTCTCTCTTTATATTAACAATGGGTGTAATATAAAGTGACCAGATTTTTAACATTGGTAAAGCGGGACACATATTGATCCGGGGGGGGGTGATTAAACATTTGGTCTATACAGAGCAACACAAATTTTCATAGAACGAAAAATAGTATTGTAATATATTTTTAAGATTTCAACACAAGTACAATATACAAATACATTAAAAGAAATTATGTATAGTATTATTTTTATTCTTTTCATATTTCTTGTCTGAGTGAATTTTGTTTAGTAGATTGCTGCCGTTATTTGAAAGGTTATAAAATTTTTCACAAGAATTTGTTAAATTCTCAGTCACAGCATTAGTTCCTGGGATATTCCACAGTTTTTAGTGCATTATTGTATTTTGTTTCAAAATGATGAAATATTTCTAACCATTTGTTTTCTGTTGTGATTTTCGCTGATGTGCAAGATTTAACCCTTTCCTTATCAATTTATTTTTTTAATAATGATGTCTAATTAAAAAGATCATTTTCAGAAATATTACTATATGGGAAATTTTGAGTAATATGATCGAATGATTTTTGCACATTCCAATTAAGTTCTTGTTTTAATATATTGCCTAGCTTGTCTTGGATTCTTCCTAAAAATCGGGACTTTTTTAAAAAGCCGCGCGACGCGGGACAAAGTGTTAAAAATCGGGACATCTGATCACCTTGGTGTAATACTTACTGTTGGTAGAGATTATTAGGAGGTAAGATATTAGGATTACTACAAAAAAACTTCTATAGAGAGCTGGCAGATGTTTAGGTTTTTCGAACAAAATGTTTATGTAATGAATTAAAATTTAAATTTTGTGATAGGAAAGTTAGATATAGGATTACTAGTGCTTGATGATAATACTGTAATTTAACTGTCTCTGTTTTAGATAAACCTGCTTTGTTAAGTGTTTCGCTTAGCATCACTTATACGTTATACTTTGTATATCAGAATGTTTTCACAATTTGGAAGATTTAAGGTTGTATTTCCAAATAAAATAGAGGAATGGCATTCTGTCGCTTGAACCGTTTTAGGATAGTTTATAAATTTCATATATTTAAGACAGAATTAATTAATTTATTTGTGACTACATGAAAGCAGAGCATACGAGTATGGTAGACAAAAATAAAGAACCAAACAATTAAGAAATAAGGGGGAAAACTTGCACTAAATATGTAAAGTTCTGTTGGGCTTTATGCTCAACGCATAATAAAGGATTCAGCGACCTTGGGGTTCAATAATGGATCTGTTACGTGGCAATTAAAATAACCTACGCTATCGCAAATAAAGCATTCATGCGATGCTTACGGATGTATGAACTGTTTCGTCGTGCGAGCGTCTGATTACTCTGGATCGCTTGATTTCCCCGCCCCCTTTTTTTAATGCGATATATGAGAGGAGATTCTGAGCCGTGTGCTTTATGTGTTTGAACGTTGCGTGCATGGGCGTGTCTAGTTGGTCCCGTTGTTGCATTGTGAGACGTGGCGCCGTGAAGCATGGACGTGCATGTACCCCCAGTTGGGTGAAAGTGCGTGTTCTCATCACGTACGGGTCACCATTGTTAGAATAAATGAACACATAAATATATGGTACAGGATTCTACAACGAAACGTATAACATTACTTTACGCACATGACTTCAACTGCATTCATGTCGCACAGACACCTTAGGGCCAAATCAGAAACGTTCTTATACATATCCAAGGACTCGGACTGGATATTTGTCATATCTAATGCTTATTCATCTCTATATATTACTAAAATATATTTATTTAATTTTTTTTAAATTTGTCTATGCAATGCTGATGGACGGGATCTCCAAAGACTTGCTTATTACACCTTCCGCCATAGAAAGGACATTTGTTCATACATTTAGACTTTTGGAAGCATCAGGTGTTGAACTTTGACAGTCTTTTCTCAGCATGATTTGTGTACATTATTAATACCAGAAATCAGTTATCTCAGAAAGTCCTCTTAAGGGGTTGATGGTAA